TTCCAAGTACATTTTCATAATTAAATTTCCTTATCTCCAAAGTCAAGGTCATCTTCAGTCTAATCCTTGCCTGAATTATCCAAAGGCTGTACCATTGACAGGTATTTCCTCTATTTGTGAAGCACAAGTGTACGTGTTAATAGACACTCACAGCCAGAATCTGTGCTAGACCCCACCCAGCTGGCCAAAAACAAAGAGACAGATGGAAAAATCTGAATATCACCTTTTTTTTTTTTTTTAATTGTCAAGAGTGTAAACAACCATCATCAGGGGGGTGATGCTCCTCCCTAAGGGAATAGATGTCATTTAGCCATGGGCATGGCCAGGTACTGATGACTCAAAAATGACCTTGATAACGACAACAAAAATGACCTTGTTAACAACAAAATGCTGTGTTACAATGCATCTGGACCAGATGTGAAACCTTAACCAATACTGATGGGAGTCAGGGTGAGGAAACCTGCAGCCAAGGAGGGTTCTGGGCACTGGGAAGAGGCACTGGGCCAGACATGCAGGAAGAGGGGCTTTGATGGTGGCTGTTTACCAGTCGGCACAGAGCATTTCTGCATTTTAATAATTCCGGCAGCCTTTCCATCTGGCCGCAGCCATCAGGTAAGCCAAGATGGGCACACACAAGTACATCCAGGAGCCATGGAGGAAGAGGCAGTCTGATGTAATGCGGTTTCTTCTGAAGGATACAAGGCCAAGCAAGGTTCTGAGAGCACCAGAAGAAAAAGGACTAAGGACAGGTCCTGGGGATTCCAACTTTCAGTTGTTTGAGCATCCCATGATGTGGACTGAGAAGAATGCACTTTCTTCTGAGAGATATAAGGCCAAGCAAAGTTACAGAGACGTGAAGGAGTTTTCAGGCTAGTGTTAGCAAAAAATTATAATACTCATAATGAGTTGTTTACTGGACATCTTTCAGTCATTTCTCCTGGCCTCTTAAGAGTGTTTGTCAAAGACAACGTTTCCTTTCTTTCCAAAACATTCGCTTAGTGTGACTCTCTGTGAGACATGGCAAGGTTTCTCTTCAAACAGCCTGCTCTTTGCTTTTTAATTCCAAGTACCACCCCCATCTCTTTCTTCTCCTTTTCTTCTTTCTGATTTTACTACATGCCCAGACATGCCACAACACCAGCTCACATTCCTTTCCTTATTTGGAAAAAAACTGATTCTCATTCACCACAGACGACCATTTCCTCCTTTTCCTTCTCTCCCATCACACGTTCACCTTATCTAAAAAAAAGTTTAAATGTTTAGCCAACCAGGTCTAGTTTAGATTGTGTGGTCCAACCCTAGCCAATAGAGGAAAGACACAGAAGCAAAAACTGCATTAGAGATAATAAAAACCCCTGCTTTCCTTTGTTCTATGTGCTCTCACCATTACTCCATATGTGACACGCACCCTTCTACCTAAGAAAATTCACTTTGCCGAGAAATTCTTTGAGCACTCGTTTTGCCTTACGACTTTGAGCTCTATCTCAACGCTCTCTCTTCTAGTTTATTTCCCATCCCTCAATTCAGATACGAGGCGCACGGACTGGGATACAAGGCCAAGCCAGGTTATGTTATAAATAGGATTCACATGTGCCCTGGTGAGAGCAAACACCCTCCCAGCACTTTGGGAGGCCGAGGCGGGTGGATCATCGGAGGTCAGGAGTTCTAGACCAGGCTGGCCAACTTGGTGAAACCCTGTCTTTACTAAAAATTAGCCGGGCGTAAGGGCACAACTTACGACAATCCTGTTTGTTGTATTCGACCGGAGCGTGGAAAGTTATCACAGGACAAAAGTATGCCAGATTTGCAGGGTCATTTATTATGCCGGCGACCACAGAGGACTCACGTCTCTCCAACCTGTGGCGACAACAGGAGGGTGCCACGATTTTTTATACCCGAAAAACCACCTTGGGAGTGGGGGTGAGGGGCAGGGATGGGGATGAAAAGGCTTCGGACATTCCAAGGGCTAGGGGACTTTTGTCATTCCGTTTGTTACTTAAGTGGTTTACAGAAGTCAAGATAAACATTTGTTTATACATTATCTGGTTAAGGTGGAAATCACAGACCTTAGTTACTTATTACAAGTCGCAGGAGCCAAGATGGCATGGGTTAGGACTGCTTGCCTGTCACATTAGGGCCACAGAGAGCAGTTACTGATAAGAAAAGGTAAGCAGCTTTACATAGTTTTGAAGAACAAACTAACAGATCTATTTACAGAGGCCAAGGACAGTAGTTATTGTGAGGAGAATGGGGCAGCCATTTCAACGGACCTAAAAACAGTTTTGTATTTTATAAAATAGTTTTGCTCTGGTTCTGGCTCTAGGCCAGCACAATATCACATGTTCATCCTGGTGTTTACCAGCTGAAGTTTGCTCAAAGCCTTTAGTTCATTGCAGAGAAGTGAGCTGGATGCCACTGTGGGACTCTAAGAGGACTGAATTCTCATTGGGTTGGCAGAAATTTCACATACACATTTTTCGAGTTTATCCTCATTGATACATTCCATAAGGCTGTCAGAAGAAATCGGGACACCCTGTGGATCACCAAACCAGTCCACAAGCACAGGGGGATGATTGGGCTGACATGTGTTACCACTAATACAAATAATGTTTGTAAATTCACACCTAAGCAACAATTTAGGGCAGTCAAAAAAAACCTCCTTTGTACCTGCTGACAGATCCGCAGCCCACGGCATAGCAGCTCAGGCTGTTATACTCCTACCCATTTAACAGATTAAGAAACTGGGGTTTAGTGAGATAAGATTTGAAGAAAAGCCCACAGCTAGTGGCAGAAAAACTGGCCATAGAATTCATCTCTTTGTTCCCAGATTCAGCATTTTTTGTTTTTTTGTTTTTATTGAGATGATGTTTCACTCTTGTTGCCCAGGCTGGAGTGCCATGGCGCAATCTCAGCTCACTGCAACCTCCACCTCCAGGGTTCAAGTGATTCTCCTGCCTCAGCCTTCCGAGTAGCCAGGACTATAGGTGCCTGCCACCACGCCCGGCTAATTTTTAGTAAAGACAGGGTTTCACCAAGTTGGCCAGCCTGGTCTAGAACTCCTGACCTTCGATGATCCACCCGCCTCGGCCTCCCAAAGTGCTGGGATTATAGGCGTGAGCCACTGCACCCAGTCCCTAGTGTTTTATTCTACGCCCTCACCCATAAATGTCCCCTAGAACTGTTATGAGCATTCAAATACCTGTGACTAATGAGAACGCTAAACCTGGACTGGCTCAACAACTTTACCACTAACAGACAGTCCTGTAACAATGGCCACATGATCAGGAAGAGGTCTTCTCCTCCATGAAAATCTGCAAGTTTTCATTATAGAATCATGCATTCTAACAAAGCCTGGTTTGAGGAAGCAGCAGGCAAATTCTGAAATATTCTCCCAGGGTGAAGCCCCTTGGGAGTGATCCATCTGACTCAATTTCACTGCAGGGAAGATCCATTTCCCGGACGCTTTCACATGCCGAACATTCTAGGTATGAGACACGATAATTAGCTGCATGTTCTGATAAGCTGGCTAACAATTAAAGCTGAGGTTGCTAAGCAGTTCTGAGAACAGTTACTGACGTGGTTTTCCTATTTTGTGACAATGGTCTGAAAAAGAAGCATGTAATGATTCCTGGTGGATGAGGCCCCTGCAAGTCATGTTTTAATTATTAACTTAATTATATGGATGAAGCAGTAGGTGGTAATTTAGTTCCTTCGCTGACACTTAATTCTTCCTCGCTCAGCCACCAGGCTGGGGGACTCTTCAGAAGCAATTTGTTTTGGAAATTTGTTCTAGCTATATCCAGCAGCAGCAGGGTTCTACCACCATGCATCCCTCCAAAACAGAGGCAGGAATGGGGAGGAGAGGGAGTGGGAGAAGAAGTCATGTGTCCGGGTAAACTGCCATGATCTGGATACACTAAAATGAGCTAGTGATGAGAGAACTGGCCCAGATGGGCACTGGCTGCGAATGTGAAGCCTGATGTGCCAAGCATGGTGTTCAAACAACACACTTTCCCCATTAAGTCCAAAAATTATCGGGAGGATAAAAAGAGTGAATAAGAGCCTGGTCGCAGTGGCTCACGCCTGAATCCCAGCACTCTGGGAGGCCAAGGCGGATAGATCACCTGAGGTCAGGAGTTCGAGACCAGCCTGGCCAACATGGTGAAACCCCGTCTCTATTAAAAATACAAAAATTAGCTGGGCGTGGTGGCGTGCACCTGTAGTCCCAGCTACTTGGGAGGCTGAGGCAGGAGAATTGCTTGAACCTGAAAGGCCAAGGTTGCAGTGAGCCAAGATCACGCCACTGCACCCGAGGCTGGTGACAGGGTGAGACTCCATCTCAAAAAAAAAAAAAAAGTTAGCTGGGCGTGGTGGTGGATGCCTGTAATCCCAGCTACTCGGGAGACTGAGGCAGGAGAATTACTTGAACCCAGGAGGCGAAGGTTGCAGTGAGCCGAGGTCGTGCCATTGCACTCCAGCCTGGGCATCAAGAGCAAAGCTCCATCTCAAAAAAAGGTGAATAAGAGACTGGGAAGATTTTTCTGGGCTCCCCACTAAGAGTGGAGGATGCAGATTCAAGGCTTTTAGAGAAAGCATTTTTTTTCCCCATGGCTTTTCTAGAGTTTTGCATGTTCTTATTTTTGAGAAGAGCCACTCCGTTTCCCTTGGATCTATTTCGATGTGATACTTCCCTGACCTCTGCCTGCTAGACCGAACAGGGAAGAACCTGATGTGGTGAACAAGGAAAAAAGAAAGATCATGAGGAAGAGTTACGATCCAGAGAAAAATACACCCCAGGGAGGATCCCTAAATCCACATTTTCAGGACTGTAGTCAACTTCAAAGGTGACTCAGGAAGCCTCATGGGCTCCCCGGCATCAAGGATAGACCCCTGAAGCAGAGACTGGGATTGCGGCTTTAATGCTTAAGCCAACCAAGCAGAGGCTTAAACTACCGATTATTTAGTACCTCAGTTAAGATTAGTCTAAAACCTTTACTCGTGTACTCACTTTGGCAGCGCTTATACTAAAATTGGAATGATACAGAGATTAGCATGGCCTCTGTGCATGGATAACAAAAAACTTGTGAAGCATTTAATATTTTAAAAAAACAAAAATATAAAAATAAAGTTTAAAAGTTGGGTCAGGATAGATGTGTACATTTGTGACTTTCATAAGTAGAAGCATCCATATATGTGAATGTATTTAGCAAGCATGGCTCATACAATGCTTTTTACTATTTTGTTTTATTTTGTTTTTTGAGAGAAAGTCCCACTCTGTTGCCCAGGCTGGAGTGCAGTGGTGCAATCTTGGCTCACTGAAACCTCTGCCTCCTGGATTCAAGCAATTCTCCTGCCTCAGCCTCCAGAGTAGCTGGGATTACGGGATTTTTTTTTTTTTTTTTTAGTAGAGATGGGATTTCGCCATGTTGACCAGGCTGATCTCGAACTCCTGATCTCAGGTGATCTGCCCACCTTGGCCTTCCAATGTGCTGGGATTACAGGCATGAGCCACTGTGCCCAGCCCTTTTTACTCTTTTGTAAACTGTGTTTTTGTGCTCACTTAACAGTATATCATATACGTGTCTATAAATAATGTTTATTTTATCATTTTGTCATCTAGTAACATCATAGTTTTAAAATGGTTTGTCATCTAGCGAATGCACAATCTTAAAAGATATTTCATTAATTTTCTATTGTGAGACATTTAGAAATTGTTTTCAAATTTTTCACTATAAAGCACAGTGCAGGACAGAATTGCTATCTTTTCCCACTGGCCTGAGGCATTGCTGCTATCACATCCTAGTTCCCACACCTACATGGGTTCGTTCTGGACTCCCTGCTCTGTTGCATTTGTCCTTCAAGCTATTTACACACCATTCCCATATTGTTTTAGTTATTATAACTTTGTTGTGTTTTTCCCTGCCAATGAAGTCTCTGATTTATATTTTTAAATGTCTAGGCAATTCTCTTACGTTTCTCCAGGTGCATTTTTTTCTTCAGTTTGAAAAACTCCATGAAATATCCCAAAGGTTCTTAATGGAATTGCTCTGCATTTGTAAGTTACCTTGTGTAGAACTGACCTACTGTGTCTCTGTTTATTCACGTCTTCCCTTGTGGCCTTCTGGACAGTTTCACAGCTTTTCTTTGTATCCAAAGCCTACATTTTCTAATTGACTACTCCTAGTATGTAAGAATGCTTTTGAATTTTTGAATGTTACTTTTTTATCCTCTCCATTTTTTTCTATTGGAATGTTTATCTTTTTCTTAGTAGTTCAGGTATTAATTACACTTCCTCAGGCTCTGAAGAAGCAAGTTATGTGGTGATGGGGTAGATGACTGCCTACCTCACACCCAGGTGTGATGACTGCACTGTGATCTTAAACCAATCACACCACCTTTCCACTCCAAAGTTTCCTTGTCAATAAGATGATACATTTCTCCATTAGTCTCTCAGAGAAGTAGCAAAGATCAAGTCAGCAAGTATCTTCTTAACCCACATTGCCCGACATGGTAGCTGCTAATGCTAAGTGATTAAATTTAAATTAATGAAAATTAAACAAAATTTAGAATTCCATTTTTACCTAAGGTCCCATTGGTCCCCTTCCAAGTGCTCATAGGCACACATGGCTAGTGGCTGCATTTTGGACAAGACAGAGTGAGGATACTTTCATCATTGTAGGAGGTATGGTTGGACGGTCCTGTTTTCAACATACAGCCTGGTGAAAGTGCAAGTTAGATTATTATTGCTGCTGCTAGAGGTTGGAATTCTCTTATCTACATGACAGGCACTCATTCACATGGACCCACACTCCAACATCCATGGGGGCTGCCTAAGCACTCACAAAAGCACTTATATTTTATCACTTCATCTAAAGTAGTCACAAAGCAAAGAAAATACAAATTAAACCCTTGAAAAATAGGAGCAAGGGTCAAATAATTGAGTGCATTATTTTTCATAGATGTCATTATCTAGACCACAAATAGCTTCATGAACCTTCCAATTATAGCAGCAAAAAAAAAGTACTTTTTTCTATGAAGTTGCTAATTCAGATTAGCCATTTACAAAAAGGCATGTTATCTTCTGGACTCTTTATTCATGGTCTGCAATATAGGACCTGGGGCTGTGAGCAGGATGGAGCAAAGGGTAGCCCCAGGAGAGCAGCAGCAGCCTAAATCCTGCTCAGAGGGTGCCTGGATTTCTCTGGCATGAGGCAAGAAGAAGACACAGATGAACACCACGTGCTCCCCCCATCACAAGGACTTAATAAGGCAGCAACTGATAATAACAACAGCAAGAGCAATAATATCAATCATTTACTACATTCCAAGTCTCATGCCAAATGCCTTATATACCTTACTGCATTCACTCTTGCCAAAAGACCAATGAGATAGGTATTTGACATTATTCCAATTTTACAGATGCAGAGACTATGTTCACAGAGATTGAATAACTTACCTGAGGTCACTTGGGAAAGAGTTCAGAGTCACAGATTGAACTAAGTGTGCATGGCTTGAGAACCTATGTTTCGCATTGTCGTATTTCTCGTCTCTGATCAGGATGGTCCTAAATGGGGAAAATGCTTCTACCTGCACAGGAATGTCTGGGCCCTCATTCCAACCCCCATTCTTCTCAACCTTGGCTCCATCCTGATCTCCAAGGTGGGTGGATATCGCAGCCTGTACATCCAACTTCATCCACTCCCCTTCCACCTCCCATGAATAGTCCCCATGCAGGCCCTGGAAGTGGGCTCAAGGGTATTTGGTCAAGGATCTCAAGTACCCAGAATAGGGTCTAGTGGGGAAGAGGATGGTTCCTTGGTCCCAAGACTCCCCTGTGGGAAGGGCACAGCTGGAGGAGGATCAAACGGGGGTCCTCTGAAGAATCATTACTCAAAGTTTGGTTCTGGGGACAGCAGCATCAGCATCACCTGGAAGCTTGTTAGAAATGAAAATTTGGGGGCCCCACCCCAGACTTCCTGAGTCAGAAACTCTGGGATGAGAGCCAGCAATCTGCGTTTTATTAAGCTCTCCAAGTGATTCTGACGCTAAGTTTTAAGGTATACATAGCTTGGTTATTTGACCTTCCAAACCTCATGTTAAAATTTGAACCCAGTGTTGGAGGTGGGGACTAGCGGGAAGTGTTTGGGTCATGGGGATGGATTCCTCATGAATGGCTTGGTGCAGTCTTGGTGAAAATAAGTAGTTCTCACTCTACAGAGCTGATTGCTAAAAAGAACCTGGCACCTCCCTCCTCCCTCTCTCTTGCTTCCTTTCTCACTGTGATCTCAGCATGATCTCTGCACATGCTGGCTCCCCTTTCCCTTTCACCGTAAGTAGAAGCAGCCCGAGGCCCGCCTCAGAGACAGGTGCTGGCACCATGATTTTTGTATAGTCTGCAAAACCATGAGCCAAATTAACCTCTTTTCTTTATAAATTACTTAGCCTCAGACATTCCTTCATAGCAACACAAATGGACCAAGACAGCCTGAGAACCACTGCTCCAGGGCAGCGCTTGTTACACACGTGTGTTCCAAGAGCCAGTGGCACCAGCATCACCTAAGAGCTTGTGGAAAATGCAAGTTCTGGGCCTCCCCACAGACCTGCTGAATCAGAATTGATGAGGGCTCAGCCCAGCCTAGCCATGTTTGTCTTAACATCCCTTCCATGTGATTATAAGCCATGCCCAAGCAGAAACACAGCAAATTGCAGGAATCATAGGGAGGGCTTTGAACTTCCATAGGAACGATGGAAGTTCAAAGCATAACGTTACCTAGATTTCAAGAAGCAAGTAGACTCAAGGTCATTTTAACAAGTAGACTTTCAAAGTCACTGATCATCTTCGTGTTTGGAGACACTCAACCTCACAGCGTATTAAACATAGCAATCAAAATATGCCCATATTGGACATAATTTATATATGATGATGTAACTACACACTGTATTTTAGTGGACTCAGTGAGTTCATGTTACCTTGGAAAAGATTTTGTTAATATTTTCTTTCTGAGTTTTGGGGAGTTTTTTTGTTTGTTTTTTTTTTATCTTAATTACTTTTGTAGGCCCTAGTGACGCTTGCAGGGCACTGTCACAGGCCTTTATCACCAAGGTCATCTTTCCAAACTGGATGTAAATAGGTAAGAGTGTGTGAAAGTCACTGGCTTGGCGAATGCTGGAGACAGCTTCCAGGATTGTGTCCTCTGTAACTTTAGAGGGAAAAAAGCAGGACATTGTAACCATTTGATTTCATTGTTATTCTTTGGACAGGGGTCCAGTACACTACAAACATTGGCTGAAATTGTCTAATCCATTTTGAGAACCTTACCAGGCAGGACTGCTTAAATCAGGTCCATGGAAAAATTAGTGTGAAAGGACAAGTGAATGTCAATTAAAACCAGCGACTGGCATCGCAGGATGGGATTTGGGCTTTGGGGCTACACAGAGGAATCTCCATTCTTTGGGGTTGTAATCCATGGCAGCAAGGCCTCCTCGTGGGCCTCAGTAAGATTCTCAGCAAAACAAATAACCTCATTAATTAAATGGGTTAGTACTCTCACCAAGCTTGTCTTAATTGCTATTCTGACTTTCAGGAGAGGCGTTTTCAAGCCAAAGTGAACACCCAGTCACAATAAGCCCTGTGTGCTCTGGAAGTGATTGCAAAGACAACTGCATAAGATGTGCCCACAGCTTGCCTCCGTCTGCCGAGGCTCCCCACCTGGCCCAGTGCCTAACTGCCCTACCCAGCTGCCTTTGTCCTCCAACCCAACTAAAAATCCAGGAGGTCCTCCATCATCATAGTCTCCCTACAGAAGACATTTTATTTTAATTGGAAGCTATGCTCTGGTTTCCTCTTTATTTATCGAATACATACTATGTGAATGCCTTGGATTCTGTGCTAAGTACAACAGGTAAAGGAATAAACATCACAGGTCAAGGTCACTGCTCCATGGGGCTTTTATTCTATTTGGTGAGTTTCTTCTAGAATCTTGAGTGCTTTTGTGTGAGAAGATGTCCCTTTTCTGTTTTATGCTACCCAACATGTATCTGTGTTGCATTTGAGGATGGTGACTTTTTCATACAAATTTCTTTCCCCACTGCCCAGGACTGCC